GAAGCACTCCCAGGCGGGTCGGGCGGGGCAGTCCGCAGGTGTAGATGGAAGAGGCCAGGCTCAGAGATCCCGTCATCGTACCATGAAACAGACAATGGGACAACGGGTGAATAGCAATGAACAAACTACAGTCAGAATCCTAAAAATGCTAAACAGATAAAGTAGGAAGGAGGAGAGGATAGTGCTCAAGTTACCATACTTCTCCCAGCAAACTGACTCCCTGCTTTTGTTTATTAAATAATTAATTTCATAGCCATATAATCGTAGAGAACGGTTTTAAAATAGTTCTCTTCCTCCCGCTCCCTTTCAGGCAACTTGATTTAGATTTATGTCTTTAATATTGGAGAACTACTGTGTTGTTTTTGGAATTGTCTGAAATACAACACATAAAATAGTGATTTGCAGAACAAGAACCAGCCAATGAAAAATCATCTATTGCCGATGCTATTGTTACAATTAGAACCACAACTATGACCAAATGCAATAAATGTTAAGTGTTCAGTCTGGCCGACAAAAAGGTTGACTTTTAGTCTGGGGGGACTGAGCAACTGTTAAAATGGTTTAAAATAATGAAGGAAGAGTATTTTAGCGTTTTAGTAAATGTTAAATAGTAGAAAAAGTAGAATTTGATCATTGTTCATGAACAAACTTCAGAGTAAGAGTTACTGTAAAATGGTATCATACATTGTGATGCTTCTGATAGAGCAGCTAAACTGTTAGAATCAGAATTATTTTACAGCCATTGAAAATGACAGAAGTCACAAATTGGAAATACGCTTTTGCTCAAGCTGCAACCGAGCTTTGGAGTCACAATAGAGGAATAGATAAATGCATCGACCATAGATGCTTTCAAAAATAGAGATTATTTTTAGCCAGGGCTAATATCAAACGGTAAAAGGACCATTTCCTTCATAATATGTCCAAAAGTATTTACTTCAAAAGTAGATAAAGTTCATTACAGTTCATGCACAGTTCTATTAGATACTGTCAAATTCACTTGTTTCAAACATAGGTGAATGTTGACAATGCAAGGAGATTTATGAGTGTAGCTTTGATTAATGAGATAGATTAATGAGATAGATTAGAACCAACACAGATTTAAAAGCATTTTAATGTATTTGGGTATAGCACAGAAGTAGATATTTGGGTATTTGAGAATTTTAAGAGCTGTCGATTTGTCAGCAATAGATTAGAGAATCAAATACCGTTGTATAGGGACTGACCCCAGAGAAACCTGCTAAAATAGATTAGCTCTTGTAAGGATAATACCAATTTGATTAATGATGTACATTCATCCCAAAACTGTCTGAGAGGAGGAAGTGACAGCACTTCCTGGTTCAACAAAATGTATTTGGAAAAATGAGCAAAACCATAGTATAGAGAGATTTATTAGATAAAAACATATGTTTAAGAATATGGCTCAATAAAATCAAATATGCAAACATATTTGTAAATAGATTAGAATAGTTTTAGTGCATACATTACAGACGAGGTTGATGAAGAATCAGAATGACACAGCAGTAGTCATCAAAATGGTATTGAAGGAATGGTTAAAATGTGGTTTGTTGTGTGTTGTATTCTTTCTGTATTAACTCTTCACAGATATCGAGCCAGAACTAGGATGATGGAATCTCCCCAGTCCTGTCACCCGAGAAGGGTTATTGAAAGATTGTGACCTAAATTGTTCTAATATAGGTCAAGAGAGGGAAATGTTGTTTTAAATATAGACTAAAAGCAGATGTGAATTTGATTGACCCGGAATTGAACTCTGTCTCTTTCCCAAGCAAAAAGACCTGGTCTCCCCTTGTTCCTTGGTAGTCCAAAAGTGCAGAAATATGAGTTAATGATAGTTAATCTGGGGGGATTCTGCTAATCCTTTCGTTGTTTGAAGAAGGAGGTGGACCTTGAAAAGCCTCCTGTCTTATCTCAAGGAAGTAATATTTCTATAGAATTAGGGAGGGGTAGTGTGTGTGTGAATGATTTCTGTTTTAGGTCTGTGTCACGAACTGGCTCGAGGTTCGGACAAAACTGGAGTCCACACATGTTTCAAAAAGGTACCAAAAATAGAATATTTATTTAAAAGGCTGCTACTGCCAGGTGAGAGATGCCCATCAACTTCCTGACAGCACTTTTGAATGTGGCTGGTCCCACCCATCTCAGGTGCTGCCAGTCCCAATCAGTTCTCCCATTGGCTGGATCCTGAAAGGAAGAGAAAGCCAGCAGCAACACACAAAGCAGACAAGACTGGGGTCGTCACACCCTCCCCCTTAAGTCAAAAACCAAGGGTTTTTGTAAAACAAATTAACGACCCCAGAGTTAGGAAGTCCAAGTGCAAATTCAATATTTGTAAGTTACACTCACCAAGCTTTTGGAATCTCCACACCCTTGTTGAACAAGGGTTATTTTCAAAGCGTTGATCTGGAGATGTGGTGACAAACAATGAAACCATTCAAAAACTCAGAATGGAGGCAACCATGTACAGCGCCACCTGCCTCCAGAGAATATTGCACTCAACTATCCTTTCTCCAACAATACAATTACAAAAGGCAAAGTTACAAATTGAGCCACACAGACTCAACTAAAAACCAAACATCTCTCACCAAGCCAACAAACCAGACAACCTATAGAAAATACCATCCAAACAAATCAGCCCTTTTGATAGTGCTCAGGGACCAACACAGCAAAACAGGCAACCAAATGTAAATGACAATGCAAAATCAAGCGCTACTTAACGTAACCAAGTAAGAGTACACAACTTACAAAACCCAAAGATTATAGCAACAAATGTAAGCCTAGAACTTACCAAACCAAAACCTATAACCAAACAAAAGTAAGTGTGAACTACTTACAAAACAGAACTCAGTTTAACAAAAGGCTCCAGTCAAAGAAAACCATACTAAATGAGTCCAGATCCCCTCTACCTCAGGCCTCACTGTCTAAGCTGGACCCTAGTCTTCGTGCAGTCACATGTGATGGGGTATTATGCACATAAAACCAGCGGAGTGATTGGAGAAACAAACCCCTTCACATCCCTGGAAGTGCTCCCGAGCCGATGTAGGGGAAAGGGAATTGGGAAGCTCTACCCACGTTCACTGCAGCCTAAAACATAAACACCACGAGTATCCTGTTGACACTCGCTGTTAAACCTAACAGGGGTTGACTCCAAAAATGGCTAAACAAATGGTCATACCAAAAACCAAGAGACCATACAAACAAAGCCTGGGCCTAACTGAGTAACAAATGTATATGAAAACAGAATGAGCACTAAACAAAAAGGCTGTAGATTCACCACAAACATGTGTGACTCAAACAACAAGTAGTTACTAAAACAACTGAAAGCAACTACTGAACTAGAGGTAAAACCATACAACCTGGCCAAGGTCAACCATCTTGACCTCCCATTTCCAGGAACAGATCCCGGACGAGCCCCCATTTGTCACGAACTGGCTCGAGGTTCGGACAAAACTGGAGTCCACACATGTTTCAAAAAGGTACCAAAAATAGAATATTTATTTAAAAGGCTGCTACTGCCAGGTGAGAGATGCCCATCAACTTCCTGACAGCACTTTTGAATGTGGCTGGTCCCACCCATCTCAGGTGCTGCCAGTCCCAATCAGTTCTCCCATTGGCTGGATCCTGAAAGGAAGAGAAAGCCAGCAGCAACACACAAAGCAGACGGAGGAAAAGGCCGGACCCTGGACCGGAAGCTGCCTGATACGACACGCCCCCTTCTTCCTGGACATCTGCTTTTTTATGTTTGGGCTGGAGGCTTGGAGTCAGTCAGAGCAGGGCCAGAGAGGGACAGCATAGCATAGTTTTAGGAGCTCTCTTTTGTTTGAATGTTCTGTATCTGATTGTCAAGATAAATTAAATACAGATGTTAAACTTGGAGAATCTTTGTCTGATTTCTGTACCAAATTTTGAACACGTCAGTCAAATCTTTTTTTTGGCCCACAGTACGGATTTGTGTTTTTATCTGTTTTATGTGTTTCCAGAAACTGAAACTGCATTTGATTTTTAACCTCGTTTCTAGGTCAGGTTTTCTGTTCATCCATGGACCTTCATGGACTGATCATGGACTGATCATGGACTGACCATGGATTGATCATGGACTGATCATGGACTGATCATGGATTGATCATGGACTGATCATGGATTGATCATGGACTGATCATGGACTGATCATGGACTGACCATGGACTGAACATGGACTGAACATGGACTGAACATGGACTGACCATGGACTGAACATGGACTGACCATGGACTGACCATGGACTGAACATGGACTGACCATGGACTGAACATGGACTGAACATGGACTGAACATGGACTGATCATAAACTGATCATGGACTGATCATGGACTGATCATGGACCTTCATGGACTGACAAATTAAAAATAAATAAAGTTTCAGGTCTTCTTGAGATAATCTTTTCAGATACTGTCAGAAACACAACATGGTGAAGATTAAAACTAGCAGAAATCAACTGATTGACAATAAGTTCAAAACATACTGTATTTCCACCGTTCATTTGCAGTTTTTAATGTTTTGTTCTGAGTAAATCGCAGGAGCTCCTGAAGAAATGTGTCTGTTATGTTCAGCCCTGCAGCCCCGGCCCCTCCTCCTGCTGCAGCCACTTCCTGCTCTGTGCTCTGTCTCTTCCTGTTTCCAGCCTGCTCCTCTCTCCCTCTCTTCCTCTCTCCCTCTGTGTCCTATACCGCTCCTTCTCTTCCTCTCGTCCTGCTTCCTACCCACTCCCTCTCTTCCTCTCTCCCTCTGTGTTTCCCACTCCCTCTCTCCCTCTCTTCCTCTCTCCTTCTCTTCCTCTCTCCCTCTGTGTCCTATACCGCTCCCTCTCTCCCTCTCTTCCTCTCTCCCTCTGTGTTTCCTACCCGCTCTCTCTCTTCCTCTCTATCTGTAAGTGGATTTTCGGTTCCATTCTTGTGGTGATAGTTTATTGGCAGGTCTCTGGGCCTCAGCCGTTGCCGCGGTGATGGATGATGCTGGTGACACACTCCATCGTCAGCACGAGGGGAACACGATCCCGAGTGTGAGAATGCTCCTCCATCATTTTCCCTGACCTTACAGGGCTGGATTATGCCGACATAGACCCAACCTACCACTTCGCTAACAAAGCCGTCTCGACACATTCGCACTTAATTATCACTTGACCAAAGCGCTGGGTGGAATTCTGCGGAGCAGCTGCAGGAGTGTGTTCGGAATCCCTGAAAGACTCTCAACAGAAAAACCAAATGCCAGCGACAAGTAGTGATTAAGAAGTGAGTGTGCGGCGGAGTGCTCGCTTTGGCCTGAGAGCGAAGGAGCTGTCCGTCAAAACGTTCAGTGGAAGATTATTTATGGCAAGGCATGTTTAATTGTATGGCACAGTGCATACACAAACGTATAAGAAACTCAATATAAACACAGTACATTACAATCCCACAGTTGTATCTACAGCGAGACAGAACTGGTTTTAACCTGGATGTGAACATTGTCAGATCAAAAGCCTGGTTTATATTTTCAGGAAGATTTTAGTTGCATGAATCTGAAATGCAGCCTCTCCTACGACAAGCGCCAGGTATTACTCAGCCTTGATTTTCATTCATCGAACCTGAATTTTTCCATTGTCAGATCAATAAAGTATATCTCTCTCTCAGGCCAGTCCCTGTGCTCCTCAGAGTCCCAGCAGGAGTCCAGTCCCTGTGCTCCTCAGAGTCCCAGCAGGAGTCCAGTCCCTGTGCTCCTCAGAGTCCCAGCAGGAGGCCAGTCCCTGTGCTCCTCAGAGTCCCAGCAGGAGTCCAGTCCCTGTGCTCCTCAGAGTCCCAGCAGGAGGCCAGTCCCTGTGCTCCTCAGAGTCCCAGCAGGAGTCCAGTCCCTGTGCTCCTCAGAGTCCCAGCAGGAGGCCAGTCCCTGTGCTCCTCAGAGTCCCAGCAGGAGGCCAGTCCCTGTGCTCCTCAGAGTCCCAGCAGGAGGCCAGTCCCTGTGCTCCTCAGAGTCCCAGCAGTGACTTGTACCAATCAGAGCAGTTTTAAAGTCTTCTCTCTCCCACAGTGGTCCAGTGTCTGTGTCGCTGTCCATGGTTCTGAAATGGATAATTCTCGTGAGTGAATACATGCTTTAGGGACTAAAACTCACAAATGATGTTACAGCTTTATTGATTATTGTCGTGTCAGTTGCAGTTCTATATGTTCTTCATATTCATGGAAGCACAGACTAAGTTTACAGTTAATCAATAGGTCACAGCGCTGCACATATTATTATGCATTTTGAGCTGAAACAGCAGCAGCACTGAATAACATGTGTAAAAGTGTGAACACTTTTCAAACCAACAATGTTTAGTTTCTCCAGGAGAAAGTAAAGGTCATTTATGACGGGGCCGCCTCAACATTCACCGTTCCTAAGCCTGGTCTCCCTCGGGGATTCTTCTCCATTCTTCGCCGCTATAAATATCTTCTCCCAAGCAACGCCATGTTTTATAAAACAGTTCTCTTTAATTAAGGCAAACTGTGAGTACCACAGTAGCTCAGTGTGTAGAGCAATGGCCTGTGGGCCTGAAGGTCTTGGGTTCGAGCCCACCACAAGACCTACTTCACGACTCCAACTGATGTCTACTGTCGTTGTGTCCTTGGGCAAGACACTGAACCCCACTTTGCCTGAAGCCCCCTCTGAAAGATCTCAGCTCCTGTGGACTCAGCACCTGCAGGAGGATCAGTGAGGGGCTGGTGCTCTGACTGCCACCCCCGACCCAGACATGGATTAAGGGGAAGAAAATGGATACCAGTACCACAGCTCTCAGTACCATCAGTACCATCAGTACCACAGCTCTCAGTACCATCAGTACCATCAGTACCATCAGTACCACATGCTGTGGAGATTGTGAAAGTTGGATGGATGAACGCAGCAAAACTCTGACTAATACTCGGGCTGAGAGAGAGCTCTCATTTAGCAGAATGAGAGCAGAGAGACAGGAGGAGCAGAGAGTCAGGAGGAGCAGAGAGTCAGGAGGAGCAGAGAGTCAGGAGGAGCAGAGAGTCAGGAGGAGCAGAGAGTCAGGAGGAGCAGAGTCAGGAGGAGCAGAGAGACAGGAGGAGCAGAGAGTCAGGAGGAGCAGAGAGACAGGAGGAGCAGAGAGTCAGGAGGAGCAGAGAGACAGGAGGAGCAGAGAGACAGGAGGAGCAGAGAGTCAGGAGGAGCAGAGAGTCAGGAGGAGCAGAGAGACAGGAGGAGCAGAGAGACAGGAGGAGCAGAGAGTCAGGAGGAGCAGAGAGTCAGGAGGAGCAGAGAGTCAGGAGGAGCAGAGAGACAGGAGGAGCAGAGAGTCAGGAGGAGCAGAGAGTCAGGAGGAGCAGAGCAGAGAGTCAGGAGGAGCAGAGAGTCAGGAGGAGCAGAGAGACAGGAGGAGCAGAGAGTCAGGAGGAGCAGAGAGTCAGTAGGAGCAGAGAGACAGGAGGAGCAGAGAGTCAGGAGGAGCAGAGAGACAGGAGGAGCAGAGAGACAGGAGGAGCAGAGAGTCAGGAGGAGCAGAGAGTCAGGAGCAGAGCAGAGAGTCAGGAGGAGCAGAGAGTCAGGAGGAGCAGAGAGACAGGAGGAGCAGAGAGACAGGAGGAGCAGAGAGTCAGGAGGAGCAGAGAGACAGGAGGAGCAGAGAGACAGGAGGAGCAGAGAGACAGGAGGAGCAGAGAGACAGGAGGAGCAGAGAGTCAGGAGGAGCAGAGAGACAGGAGCAGAGAGCAGGAGGAGCAGAGAGTCAGGAGGAGCAGAGAGACAGGAGGAGCAGAGAGACAGGAGGAGCAGAGAGTCAGGAGGAGCAGAGAGTCAGGAGAGAGCAGAGCAGAGAGTCAGGAGGAGCAGAGAGACAGGAGGAGCAGAGAGACAGGAGGAGCAGAGAGACAGGAGGAGCAGAGAGTCAGGAGGAGCAGAGAGACAGGAGGAGCAGAGAGACAGGAGGAGCAGAGAGTCAGGAGGAGCAGAGAGACAGACGTTGGGCCTGTTCCATCCAGCATCAGTGGCAGACTTTAAATTGCTTTTCAATCACTGTCTGCAGCTCAGAGATTGGATGTGTCAGACAAACACCACCCGCTGTTAAAGACCTTATGCAGGGTTTGTCCAATAATCTGTGGATATCAAAATTGCAAGACAAATAATCAATTAATGCCAATCTGAAATAGATTCCAGCTAAAATGATCCTGTATTTTATTGAAAAAAATATATTTTTGATACACACCCGGAAGTGTGACGTCATAGCGGGTACCGCCCCAAACGTCCTGACGTCACTGGGGGAGAAGCGCCGGTATGATTTTTTTTGTTCCAAAGGACGTTGCTATGGTCTTTTCTCGATTTGGGGGGATGCGATAGTAAAGTAATCCGGTCTGGTTCTATCAAGAAACTGAAGCCGGAGCAAGAGGAATGTTTAACAAATGTAATCTCTGGCACAAATTGTGCGCTACTCCCCACGGGCTCCGTTAGCGGCAAAGGAGATGGCTAAAGCTAGGCTACATGCTAAATGCTAACGACTCACTCGGGTTCATTACATACGTCACTGTAAACTCAGATCCAATGGTTTCAATCTGTAAAAGAAGAAGATGTTATTAATAAATAATCTTTTAGCAGCTAATGTTTAGTATTCCTGTGTACATCGATCACTTTTCATTGCTTGATGATTGTGACTCAAGGAAAAGTAGAATCCGCCAAATGATCGTAACTACATTTGTAATCTTTCCTTAAGGAAGTTAGTAATGTTTATTTATATAACGCATTTTACAGACCAAGGTACAGACCCAATGCCCTTTACAATGTTCAGAGTTCAGATATTGTTCCATTCTCTGAAGCGAGACCTGAACACACTGGTCCTACATTCAGACCTATTGTGCATGCTTTTAGTGGTAGGGGAAACCGGAGCACCTGGAGGAAACCTACACAGAACACGCAAACTCCACTCTGACAGCCCTTCTGTTCCGACCGGGATTCGAACCCAGGACCTTCTGTGCTAACCACTCAGCCACTGTGCCTCCCTGAGTAAACAGTAAACATTTCCAGCCTGTAGTGAGCCTCAAGATATTTTTAAAATCAAAATGTGTTGAAGATCGAAAGGTCCTGGGAGTAGATAAAGTAGATAAAAGCATGAGACAAAGGGCCTGTACCTGAGCTCACACATGGGACTCCCTTCTCCAGAGACCACAGCGTTCTCGGTTCAGATCATTAAGATAGAGGCAGAGTTTGGGCTTCAGACGGTTTGTCCAGTTCCAGGGTTCAACCATTGATTTCTGTTGTCTGTAAAAACCTGCTGCATTTTTGTCCCAATATATTGTTTTTTTACAGTGAATAATAAATATATACAGATTGTCACGCTTGTTATTCATTACTTAAATTGACACTTTGGACTGACGTTCTGAAGGGATCTTTGTGGAGTTAGCCAAACCCTTGAACCACAGCTAAATATTTTCCCTGCTCTTTCTTTTATTGCTACTTTATTATTGTACATAATTATCTCCTGCACAGACTATTTTTTTTACTTTAACATGTTTCACACTTCTGTCTTTGGCACAGTCTGAGTGATTCTGTACATTTCTCCATCAGAGATCATTAAAGTCTATCTCACCTCTTTATTAACTATTATTATTGCACATTACACAGAGGAGCCTCCAAACCTCTTTTATACCTTTTCTGCAGAGTTTTCCTGATCTGGTATTTGGTCCTGTGTTTTTTATAAATGAGATTCCTTGATGTGAGGAGGAAACGGCAGAACAAATGAGCTTCCTTAAAGATGGAGGCTGTGGTGAAGGACAGATAGTTGACGTGGCTCTCTATTATCCAAGGCCCTAATAAGCCATGCACCCAGGGACACCCCACCCAGGGACACCCCCACCCAGGGACACCCCCACACTGCCATCTCCTCCACAACACGCTGCACCTATTGTCCCCACTCAAATATCTGCAGCTGTATCTGTTTTTCCTGCTAACGCCTGCTCTAGCTTCAGATGGGGTCAGTGCCACATGTTCCACTCATGCATCCTCCTGTTCCCAGCTGTTGATAGCAGGTTATTGTGAGTGTGATAAGCGTTTAACAATGAATCACTAAACCCCGGCCAGCCACAATCTGTTTGGCTTCTTCTGCTGCGAGAGCAAAACAATGGGGTGTTGTTCTCGGCTGCGATTGGCTGTCGGGGCGGCGGCTGTGTGAGCAGAGAGACGATAAAGGAGGATGATGTATGAGGGCCGTGTCTGTGAGTCAGGTGACAGAGATAAGGGAGACCAGGGGGGGCAGGCTGGGGACGAGCGAGAGTAGGGCTGAGGGGGTGGGAGCAGGCCTGAGGGGGTGGGAGTAGGACTGAGGGGGTGGGAGCAGACCTGAGGGGTGGGAGCAGGCCTGAGGGGGTGGGAGTAGGCCTGAGGGGGTGGGAGTAGGACTGAGGGGGTGGGAGCAGGACTGAGGGGGTGGGAGCAGACCTGAGGGGGTGGGAGTAGGCCTGAGAGGGGTGGGAGCAGGACTGAGGGGGTGGGAGTAGGACTGAGGGGGTGGGAGCAGGCCTGAGGGGGTGGGAGCAGACCTGAGGGGGTGGGAGCAGGCCTGAGGGGGTGGGAGCAGGCCTGAGGGGGTGGGAGCAGACCTGAGGGGGTGGGAGCAGGACTGAGGGGGTGGGAGTAGGACTGAGGGGGTGGGAGCAGGCCTGAGGGGGTGGGAGCAGGACTGAGGGGGTGGGAGTAGGACTGAGGGGGTGGGAGCAGGACTGAGGGGGTGGGAGTAGGCCTGAGGGGGTGGGAGCAGGACTGAGGGGGTGGGAGTAGGCCTGAGGGGGTGGGAGCAGGACTGAGGGGGTGGGAGCAGACCTGAGGGGGTGGGAGTAGGCCTGAGGGGGTGGGAGCAGGACTGAGGGGGTGGGAGCAGGCCTGAGGGGGTGGGAGTAGGACTGAGGGGGTGGGAGTAGGACTGAGGGGGTGGGAGCAGGCCTGAGGGGGTGGGAGTAGGCCTGAGGGGGTGGGAGCAGGCCTGAGGGGGTGGGAGCAGGCCTGAGGGGGTGGGAGTAGGACTGAGGGGGTGGGAGTAGGACTGAGGGGGTGGGAGTAGGCCTGAGGGGTGGGAGTAGGCCTGAGGGGGTGGGAGCAGGACTGAGGGGGTGGGAGTAGGCCTGAGGGGGTGGGAGTAGGACTGAGGGGGTGGGAGTAGGACTGAGGGGGTGGGAGCAGGCCTGAGGGGGTGGGAGTAGGCCTGAGGGGGTGGGAGTAGGACTGAGGGGGTGGGAGCAGGCCTGAGGGGGTGGGAGCAGGCCTGAGGGGGTGGGAGTAGGACTGAGGGGGTGGGAGCAGACCTGAGGGGGTGGGAGTAGGACTGAGGGGGTGGGAGTAGGACTGAGGGGGTGGGAGTAGGACTGAGGGGGTGGGAGTAGGACTGAGGGGGTGGGAGCAGGCCTGAGGGGGTGGGAGTAGGACTGAGGGGGTGGGAGTAGGACTGAGGGGGTGGGAGTAGGACTGAGGGGGTGGGAGCAGGCCTGAGGGGGTGGGAGTAGGACTGAGGGGGTGGGAGCAGGACTGAGGGGGTGGGAGCAGGCCTGAGGGGGTGGGAGTAGGACTGAGGGGGTGGGAGTAGGACTGAGGGGGTGGGAGCAGGCCTGAGGGGGTGGGAGCAGGCCTGAGGGGGTGGGAGTAGGACTGAGGGGGTGGGAGCAGACCTGAGGGGGTGGGAGTAGGACTGAGGGGGTGGGAGTAGGACTGAGGGGGTGGGAGTAGGACTGAGGGGGTGGGAGTAGGACTGAGGGGGTGGGAGCAGGCCTGAGGGGGTGGGAGTAGGACTGAGGGGGTGGGAGTAGGACTGAGGGGGTGGGAGCAGGCCTGAGGGGGTGGGAGTAGGACTGAGGGGGTGGGAGTAGGCCTGAGGGGGTGGGAGTAGGACTGAGGGGGTGGGAGCAGGCCTGAGGGGGTGGGAGTAGGACTGAGGGGGTGGGAGTAGGACTGAGGGGGTGGGAGTAGGACTGAGGGGGTGGGAGTAGGACTGAGGGGGTGGGAGCAGGCCTGAGGGGGTGGGAGTAGGACTGAGGGGGTGGGAGCAGGCCTGAGGGGGTGGGAGTAGGACTGAGGGGGTGGGAGTAGGACTGAGGGGGTGGGAGTAGGACTGAGGGGGTGGGAGCAGGCCTGAGGGGGTGGGAGTAGGACTGAGGGGGTGGGAGTAGGACTGAGGGGGTGGGAGCAGGCCTGAGGGGGTGGGAGCAGGCCTGAGGGGGTGGGAGTAGGACTGAGGGGGTGGGAGCAGACCTGAGGGGGTGGGAGTAGGACTGAGGGGGTGGGAGTAGGACTGAGGGGGTGGGAGTAGGACTGAGGGGGTGGGAGTAGGACTGAGGGGGTGGGAGCAGGCCTGAGGGGGTGGGAGTAGGACTGAGGGGGTGGGAGTAGGACTGAGGGGGTGGGAGCAGGCCTGAGGGGGTGGGAGTAGGACTGAGGGGGTGGGAGTAGGCCTGAGGGGGTGGGAGTAGGACTGAGGGGGTGGGAGCAGGCCTGAGGGGGTGGGAGCAGGCCTGAGGGGGTGGGAGCAGACCTGAGGGGGTGGGAGTAGGACTGAGGGGGTGGGAGCAGACCTGAGGGGGTGGGAGTAGGACTGAGGGGGTGGGAGCAGGCCTGAGGGGGTGGGAGTAGGCCTGAGGGGGTGGGAGTAGGACTGAGGGGGTGGGAGTAGGACTGAGGGGGTGGGAGTAGGACTGAGGGGGTGGGAGCAGGCCTGAGGGGGTGGGAGTAGGACTGAGGGGGTGGGAGCAGGACTGAGGGGGTGGGAGTAGGACTGAGGGGGTGGGAGCAGGACTGAGGGGGTGGGAGCAGGCCTGAGGGGGTGGGAGCAGGCCTGAGGGGGTGGGAGCAGGCCTGAGGGGGTGGGAGTAGGACTGAGGGGGTGGGAGTAGGACTGAGGGGGTGGGAGCAGGCCTGAGGGGGTGGGAGCAGGACTGAGGGGGTGGGAGTAGGACTGAGGGGTGGGAGTAGGACTGAGGGGGTGGGAGTAGGACTGAGGGGGTGGGAGTAGGACTGAGGGGGTGGGAGCAGGCCTGAGGGGGTGGGAGCAGGACTGAGGGGGTGGGAGTAGGACTGAGGGGGTGGGAGTAGGACTGAGGGGGTGGGAGCAGGCCTGAGGGGGTGGGAGTAGGACTGAGGGGGTGGGAGTAGGCCTGAGGGGGTGGGAGTAGGACTGAGGGGGTGGGAGTAGGCCTGAGGGGGTGGGAGTAGGACTGAGGGGGTGGGAGTAGGCCTGAGGGGGTGGGAGTAGGACTGAGGGGGTGGGAGCAGGCCTGAGGGGGTGGGAGTAGGCCTGAGGGGGTGGGAGTAGGACTGAGGGGGTGGGAGCAGGCCTGAGGGGGTGGGAGCAGGCCTGAGGGGGTGGGAGTAGGACTGAGGGGGTGGGAGTAGGCCTGAGGGGGTGGGAGTAGGACTGAGGGGGTGGGAGCAGGCCTGAGGGGGTGGGAGTAGGACTGAGGGGGTGGGAGCAGGCCTGAGGGGGTGGGAGCAGACCTCAGGGGGTGGGAGCAGGCCTGAGGGGGTGGGAGTAGGACTGAGGGGGTGGGAGCAGACCTGAGGGGGTGGGAGTAGGACTGAGGGGGTGGGAGTAGGACTGAGGGGGTGGGAGCAGGCCTGAGGGGGTGGGAGCAGGCCTGAGGGGGTGGGAGCAGGCCTGAGGGGGTGGGAGTAGGACTGAGGGGGTGGGAGCAGACCTGAGGGGGTGGGAGTAGGACTGAGGGGGTGGGAGTAGGACTGAGGGGGTGGGAGTAGGACTGAGGGGGTGGGAGTAGGACTGAGGGGGTGGGAGTAGGACTGAGGGGGTGGGAGTAGGACTGAGGGGGTGGGAGCAGGCCTGAGGGGGTGGGAGTAGGCCTGAGGGGGTGGGAGCAGGCCTGAGGGGGTGGGAGCAGACCTGAGGGGGTGGGAGTAGGACTGAGGGGGTGGGAGCAGACCTGAGGGGGTGGGAGTAGGACTGAGGGGGTGGGAGTAGGCCTGAGGGGGTGGGAGTAGGACTGAGGGGGTGGGAGTAGGACTGAGGGGGTGGGAGTAGGACTGAGGGGGTGGGAGTAGGACTGAGGGGGTGGGAGTAGGACTGAGGGGGTGGGAGTAGGACTGAGGGGGTGGGAGTAGGACTGAGGGGGTGGGAGCAGGACTGAGGGGGTGGGAGTAGGCCTGAGGGGGTGGGAGTAGGACTGAGGGGGTGGGAGTAGGCCTGAGGGGGTGGGAGCAGGCCTGAGGGGGTGGGAGTAGGACTGAGGGGGTGGGAGCAGGCCTGAGGGGGTGGGAGCAGGCCTGAGGGGGTGGGAGCAGGCCTGAGGGGGTGGGAGTAGGACTGAGGGGGTGGGAGTAGGACTGAGGGGGTGGGAGTAGGACTGAGGGGGTGGGAGTAGGACTGAGGGGGTGGGAGCAGACCTGAGGGGGTGGGAGTAGACCTGAGGGGGTGGGAGCAGGCCTGGGGGGGTGGGAGCAGACCTGAGGGGGTGGGAGCAGGCCTGGGGGGGTGGGAGTAGGACTGAGGGGGTGGGAGTAGGACTGAGGGGGGTGGGAGTAGGACTGAGGGGGTGGGAGCAGGCCTGAGGGGGTGGGAGTAGGACTGAGGGGGTGGGAGTAGGACTGAGGGGGTGGGAGTAGGACTGAGGGGGTGGGAGCAGGCCTGAGGGGGTGGGAGCAGACCTGAGGGGGTGGGAGCAGGCCTGAGGGGGTGGGAGTAGGCCTGAGGGGGTGGGAGTAGGACTGAGGGGGTGGGAGTAGGACTGAGGGGGTGGGAGCAGGACTGAGGGGGTGGGAGTAGGCCTGAGGGGGTGGGAGTAGGACTGAGGGGGTGGGAGTAGGACTGAGGGGGTGGGAGCAGGACTGAGGGGGTGGGAGCAGGCCTGAGGGGGTGGGAGCAGGCCTGAGGGGGTGGGAGTAGGACTGAGGGGGTGGGAGTAGACCTGAGGGGGTGGGAGCAGGCCTGAGGGGGTGGGAGTAGGCCTGAGGGGGTGGGAGTAGGACTGAGGGGGTGGGAGTAGGACTGAGGGGGTGGGAGCAGGACTGAGGGGGTGGGAGTAGGACTGAGGGGGTGGGAGCAGACCTGAGGGGGTGGGAGCAGACCTGAGGGGGTGGGAGTAGGCCTGAGGGGGGTGGGAGCAGGACTGAGGGGGTGGGAGTAGGCCTGAGGGGGTGGGAGTAGGACTGAGGGGGTGGGAGCAGGCCTGAGGGGGTGGGAGTAGGCCTGAGGGGGTGGGAGTAGGCCTGAGGGGGTGGGAGTAGGACTGAGGGGGTGGGAGTAGGACTGAGGGGGTGGGAGCAGGCCTGAGGGGGTGGGAGCAGACCTGAGGGGGTGGGAGTAGGCCTGAGGGGGTGGGAGCAGGCCTGAGGGGGTGGGAGCAGGCCTGAGGGGGTGGGAGTAGGCCTGAGGGGGTGGGAGCAGGCCTGAGGGGGTGGGAGTAGGACTGAGGGGGTGGGAGTAGGACTGAGGGGGTGGGAGTAGGACTGAGGGGGTGGGAGCAGGCCTGAGGGGGTGGGAGTAGGCCTGAGGGGGTGGGAGTAGGCCTGAGGGGGTGGGAGCAGGACTGAGGGGGTGGGAGCAGGCCTGAGGGGGTGGGAGTAGGCCTGAGGGGGTGGGAGTAGGACTGAGGGGGTGGGAGTAGGACTGAGGGGGTGGGAGCAGGCCTGAGGGGGTGGGAGTAGGACTGAGGGGGTGGGAGTAGGACTGAGGGGGTGGGAGCAGGCCTGAGGGGGTGGGAGTAGGCCTGAGGGGGTGGGAGTAGGACTGAGGGGGTGGGAGTAGGACTGAGGGGGTGGGAGCAGGCCTGAGGGGGTGGGAGTAGGCCTGAGGGGGTGGGAGTAGGACTGAGGGGGTGGGAGTAGGACTGAGGGGGTGGGAGCAGGCCTGAGGGGGTGGGAGTAGGACTGAGGGGGTGGGAGCAGGCCTGAGGGGGTGGGAGTAGGACTGAGGGGGTGGGAGTAGGCCTGAGGGGGTGGGAGTAGGACTGAGGGGGTGGGAGCAGACTTGAGGGGGTGGGAGCAGGCCTGAGGGGGTGGGAGTAGGACTGAGGGGGTGGGAGCAGGCCTGAGGGGGTGGGAGCAGGCCTGAGGGGGTGGGAGTAGGACTGAGGGGGTGGGAGTAGGACTGAGGGGGTGGGAGTAGGACTGAGGGGGTGGGAGTAGGACTGAGGGGGTGGGAGTAGGACTGAGGGGGTGGGAGCAGACCTGAGGGGGTGGGAGCAGACCTGAGGGGGTGGGAGCAGGCCTGAGGGGGTGGGAGTAGGACTGAGGGGGTGGGAGTAGGACTGAGGGGGTGGGAGTAGGACTGAGGGGGTGGGAGCAGGCCTGAGGGGGTGGGAGTAGGACTGAGGGGGTGGGAGTAGGACTGAGGGGGTGGGAGTAGGACTGAGGGGGTGGGAGTAGGACTGAGGGGGTGGGAGTAGGACTGAGGGGGTGGGAGTAGGCCTGAGGGGGTGGGAGCAGGACTGAGGGGGTGGGAGCAGGCCTGAGGGGGTGGGAGTAGGCCTGAGGGGGTGGGAGTAGGACTGAGGGGGTGGGGAGTAGGACTGAGGGGGTGGGAGCAGGCCTGAGGGGGTGGGAGTAGGCCTGAGGGGGTGGGAGTAGGCCTGAGGGGGTGGGAGCAGACCTGAGGGGGTGGGAGCAGGCCTGAGGGGGTGGGAGTAGGCCTGAGGGGGTGGGAGCAGCCTGAGGGGGTGGGAGCAGACCTGAGGGGGTGGGAGCAGGCCTGGGGGGTGGGAGTAGGACTGAGGGGGTGGGAGTAGGACTGAGGGGGTGGGAGTAGGACTGAGGGGGTGGGAGCAGGCCTGAGGGGTGGGAGTAGGCCTGAGGGGGTGGGAGTAGGCCTGAGGGGGTGGGAGCAGGACTGAGGGGGTGGGAGCAGGCCTGAGGGGGTGGGAGTAGGCCTGAGGGGGTGGGAGTAGGACTGAGGGGGTGGGAGTAGGACTGAGGGGGTGGGAGCAGGCCTGAGGGGGTGGGAGTAGGACTGAGGGGGTGGGAGTAGGACTGAGGGGGTGGGAGCAGGCCTGAGGGGGTGGGAGTAGGCCTGAGGGGGTGGGAGTAGGACTGAGGGGGTGGGAGTAGGACTGAGGGGGTGGGAGCAGGCCTGAGGGGGTGGGAGTAGGCCTGAGGGGGTGGGAGTAGGACTGAGGGGGTGGGAGCAGGCCTGAGGGGGTGGGAGCAGGCCTGAGGGGGTGGGAGTAGGACTGAGGGGGTGGGAGTAGGACTGAGGGGGTGGGAGTAGGCCTGAGGGGGTGGGAGTAGGACTGAGGGGGTGGGAGTAGGACTGAGGGGGTGGGAGTAGGACTGAGGGGGTGGGAGCAGGCCTGAGGGGGTGGGAGCAGGCCTGAGGGGGTGGGAGTAGGACTGAGGGGGTGGGAGCAGGCCTGAGGGGGTGGGAGTAGGCCTGAGGGGGTGGGAGCAGGCCTGAGGGGGGGTGGGAGTAGGACTGAGGGGGTGGGAGCAGGCCTGAGGGGGTGGGAGCAGGCCTGAGGGGGTGGGAGTAGGACTGAGGGGGTGGGAGTAGGACTGAGGGGGGTGGGAGCAGGCCTGAGGGGGTGGGAGTAGGACTGAGGGGGTGGGAGTAGGACTGAGGGGGTGGGAGCAGGCCTGAGGGGGTGGGAGCAGGCCTGGGGGGTGGGAGTAGGACTGAGGGGGTGGGAGTAGGACTGAGGGGGTGGGAGTAGGACTGAGGGGGTGGGAGCAGGCCTGAGGGGGTGGGAGTAGGCCTGAGGGGGTGGGAGTAGGCCTGAGGGGGTGGGAGCAGGACTGAGGGGGTGGGAGTAGGACTGAGGGGGTGGGAGTAGGACTGAGGGGGTGGGAGCAGGCCTGAGGGGGGTGGGAGTAGGCCTGAGGGGGTGGGAGTAGGCCTGAGGGGGTGGGAGCAGGAGCACTGAGGGGTGGGAGCAGGCCTGAGGGGGTGGGAGTAGGCCTGAGGGGGTGGGAGCAGGCCTGAGGGGGTGGGAGCAGGCCTGAGGGGGTGGGAGCAGGCCTGAGGGGGTGGGAGTAGGACTGAGGGGGTGGGAGCAGGCCTGAGGGGGTGGGAGCAGGCCTGAGGGGGTGGGAGCAGGCCTGAGGGGGTGGGAGTAGGACTGAGGGGGTGGGAGCAGGTCTGAGGGGGTGGGAGTAGGACTGAGGGGGTGGGAGTAGGACTGAGGGGGTGGGAGTAGGACTGAGGGGGTGGGAGCAGGCCTGAGGGGGTGGGAGTAGGACTGAGGGGGTGGGAGTAGGACTGAGGGGGTGGGAGTAGGCCTGAGGGGGTGGGAGCAGGCCTGGGGGGGTGGGAGTAGGACTGAGGGGGTGGGAGTAGGACTGAGGGGGTGGGAGTAGGACTGAGGGGGTGGGAGCAGGCCTGAGGGGGTGGGAGTAGGCCTGAGGGGGTGGGAGTAGGCCTGAGGGGGTGGGAGCAGGACTGAGGGGGTGGGAGCAGGCCTGAGGGGGTGGGAGTAGGCCTGAGGGGGTGGGAGCAGGCCTGAGGGGGTGGGAGCAGGCCTGAGGGGGTGGGAGCAGGCCTGAGGGGGTGGGAGTAGGACTGAGGGGGTGGGAGCAGGCCTGAGGGGGTGGGAGCAGGCCTGAGGGGGTGGGAGCAGGCCTGAGGGGGTGGGAGTAGGACTGAGGGGGTGGGAGCAGGTCTGAGGGGGTGGGAGTAGGACTGAGGGGGTGGGAGTAGGACTGAGGGGGTGGGAGTAGGACTGAGGGGGTGGGAGCAGGCCTGAGGGGGTGGGAGTAGGACTGAGGGGGTGGGAGTAGGACTGAGGGGGTGGGAGTAGGCCTGAGGGGGTGGGAGCAGGCCTGAGGGGGTGGGAGTAGGACTGAGGGGGTGGGAGTAGGACTGAGGGGGTGGGAGTAGGACTGAGGGGGTGGGAGCAGGCCTGAGGGGGTGGGAGCAGGCCTGAGGGGGTGGGAGTAGGACTGAGGGGGTGGGAGCAGGCCTGAGGGGGTGGGAGTAGGCCTGAGGGGGTGGGAGCAGGCCTGAGGGGGTGGGAGTAGGACTGAGGGGGTGGGAGCAGGCCTGAGGGGGTGGGAGCAGGCCTGAGGGGGTGGGAGTAGGACTGAGGGGGTGGGAGTAGGACTGAGGGGGTGGGAGCAGGCCTGAGGGGGTGGGAGTAGGACTGAGGGGGTGGGAGCAGGCCTGAGGGGGTGGGAGTAGGCCTGAGGGGGTGGGAGCAGGCCTGAGGGGGTGGGAGTAGGGCTGAGGGGGTGGGAGTAGGACTGAGGGGGTGGGAGTAGGACTGAGGGGGGTGGGAGCAGGCCTGAGGGGGGTGGGAGCAGGCCTGAGGGGGTGGGAGCAGGCCTGAGGGGGTGGGAGCAGGCCTGAGGGGGTGGGAGCAGGCCTGAGGGGGTGGGAGTAGGCCTGAGGGGGTGGGAGCAGGCCTGAGGGGGTGGGAGCAGGCCTGAGGGGATGGGAGCAGGCCTGAGGGGGTGGGAGTTGGCCTGAGGGGGTGGGAGTAGGCCTGAGGGGGTGGGAGTAGGCCTGAGGGGGTGGGAGCAGGCCTGATGGGGGTGGGAGTAGGACTGAGGGGGTGGGAGCAGGACTGAGGGGGTGGGAGTAGGACTGAGGGGGTGGGAGCAGGACTGAGGGGGTGGGAGCAGGCCTGAGGGGGTGGGAGTAGGACTGAGGGGGTGGGAGTAGGACTGAGGGGGTGGGAGCAGGACTGAGGGGGTGGGAGCAGGCCTGAGGGGGTGGGAGTAGGACTGAGGGGGTGGGAGCAGGCCTGAGGGGGTGGGAGCAGGCCTGAGGGGGTGGGAGTAGGCCTGAGGGGGTGGGAGCAGGCCTGAGGGGGTGGGAGTTGGCCTGAGGGGGTGGGAGTAGGCCTGAGGGGGTGGGAGTAGGCCTGAGGGGGTGGGAGCAGGACTGAGGGGGTGGGAGTAGGACTGAGGGGGTGGGAGCAGGACTGAGGGGGTGGGAGTAGGGCCTGAGGGGGTGGGAGTAGGACTGAGGGGGTGGGAGCAGGCCTGAGGGGGTGGGAGTAGGACTGAGGGGGTGGGAGTAGGACTGAGGGGGTGGGAGCAGACCTGAGGGGGTGGGAGCAGGCCTGAGGGGGTGGGAGTAGGACTGAGGGGGTGGGAGCAGGACTGAGGGGGTGGGAGTAGGACTGAGGGGGTGGGAGCAGGCCTGAGGGGGTGGGAGCAGGACTCAACACTGACGCCTTTAACAGCCCTACAGACCCTCCTGCATCAGAAAGGAACAATCTATGGCCTTGGTCCTGGTTCTGCAGCCTGAGTCCTGGATCAATAGCCCGTTCTCGGACTGGTTTAGATCCAGGACTCAGGGAGCAGAATGAGGACCAAGACCACGCGGTGCAGGACTCAGGTTGTAGAACGAGGACGATGGAAATGTATAATACGTATGAAAATATCGGGCACATGAAGTAGCTTACAATACATCAGGGGAATTATACTGAGCTGAAAGAAGAGACTGCAGGGGTCTCAAATACAGACTGGACTGAGCTCCACTGAGACATGAGGGAAAAGCACATCTCTAACTTAAGTGGCTGAGAATGGCAGCGCTAAAGAAGATCAGTGGGAGGCCTCATCACACATGAACAAAATAAATAAATTGATGTGAAAAGTCTCTCTGTGGCCAACGTTTCTCACAGAAGGGTTTCCAGCACGAAGCTTGAAAAGGAATGACTAACAGCTCATTCACCAAACGCCAGAGAAGTGTGTCCGGACTGTGAGGAACTACTGACGCATATTCCCATTAATGAAAGTGTGTTGATTGTGTGTTGATTTTGTGTTGATTGTGTGTTGATTGTGTGTTGATTTTGTGTTGATTTTGTGTTGATTGTGTGTTGATTTTGTGTTGATTGTGTGTTGATTGTGTGTTGATTGTGTGTTGATTGTGTGTTGATTGTGTGTAAATCATACAACACAGAGGAGGTTTTCATACATTTCCCAGTGGCCAGTGCATTATTTTTGTTTTAATCTTTAATTAATGTACAAACCATTTAACAAAAAGAAAACAAGACTTACAATCCATGAATAAAACCACTACATTTCCACAGTCACATGACCGTTGGAACTCAAAAAGTCTGAGTAAATCTGTAAAGTGGCTGCAGCTGCATTAGTCTCTGCTATAGAACAGACTTTTACAAAGTCACAAAAAGATAAAACAGATCACGCACTGGCGCCCTGTGGAGCCTTCGACATCACCACTAACTCACTCTCAGACCTGATGTACACGCCGGAGCACCTGGAGGAAACCTACACACGGCCTTGACTGTTACATTATTATGCTGTATGTTATTCTTTATTCAAGGCTAGGTTTAAAACAGTCCTCTTTAGTTTAGCATATGGCTAGGAAGGTAAGACTCGGAGAAGGTTAAACTCCTCAGAGTGTTAGTCAAGCTGCATAGGGAGTCAGTTTGCTGGGAGAAGTATGGTAACTTGAGCACTATCCTCTCCTCCTTCCTACTTTATCTGTTTAGCATTTTTAGGATTCTGACTGTAGTTTGTTCATTGCTATTCACCCGTTGTCCCATTGTCTGTTTCATGGTACGATGACGGGATCTCTGAGCCTGGCCTCTTCCATCTACACCTGCGGACTGCCCCGCCCGACCCGCCTGGGAGTGCTTCAGTCCTGCACCGGACCTGTCCACGTTTCAGCGTACCACTGGTCCACGTTCTGTAGCTAGCTTAGGTCCTGGATCATTAGCCTGTCCGTCCGGAGGAGCGGATCCCTTTCTCATATGGGTCTCCCTCCCTGTGGGTTTCCCTAGTTCTCCTCCAAGGTTTCTCACTTTTTCCCACTGGGTTTTTTAAGAGTTGTTCCTTGTGGATGCAGGAGGGTCTTGTTGGACAGTTAGTGTCCAACAGAAAGGATTGGTGATGATCAGGACACTTTAGCATTCTACAACATGTATGGACATTTTCTTCTGTGTGTGCTTTATATTCTTCATGTGTTTTAACTGTTGATTCTCTGACCTGTGTTGGTGATTTCAATGGTTTTGTTAAGTCCTCTGAGATGACTTCTGTCGTGACCTAGGGCTATACAAGAATAAATTGTATTGTGTATTGTGTATTGTCTGAAGCTGAAAGTGATGAAAGTAGTGCCACTGATGAGAAGGAAAACACTTAAAAACACTTCTGTGAAAGAAATACTGGTGTTGTTTAAGAGTTAGAAACATGAAGACTAAAGTACGACCTCTTGAAGTGTTTTTTTAATCAAATGTTTTATTTCCAGATGCTGCAGTTTCATGGACTGCGTTGCTTTGTGAACGTGTGAAAAGATCCTGTTTTCACTCTGACTTTTACGATAACAGCGTCCTGCAGAGTCTGACCTTTGTCTGAGAAAATATGCATTGATCAGCGTTTCCATTGGCTCGTACGCAGAGTGTAGTATTTAGTATATACTGTATGTATATATATATATATATATATATATATATATATATATATATACAATATATATATATATATATATATATATATATATATATATATATATATATATATATATATATATATATATATTGTATATATATACTGTATATATATATATATATATATATATATACTGTATATATATATACAGTATATATACAGTACAGAGCAAAAGTGTGGACACCCTCTCTGCTTCACTGAGTTCTTGAATATTGCTGTAGAACCAGGAAACTGCTTGTGTTTGGAAAATGATTTCTTTATTAAACTGTGCGTATTGACATCAACATTAAATACATCCCATAAATAAATGAAACTATGTTGAGTTATTCGTGGCATCTAAAAATGTTTTTACGCCATGTTTAAAATGTGAAATAAAAAATTGTTGAAACAAGTGTAAAGGTACACAGTACACAGTACATTATACAAAAAATATATATATAATAAATAGTGCAGTTATGTTTCAGATAATATTGTTAATATATTTTTAAGATAATATTGTTAATATATTTTTAAGATAATATTGTTCATGTATTTTTAAGATAATATTGTTCATGTATTTTTAAGATAATATTGTTCATGTATTTTTAAGATAATATTGTTCATATATTTTTAAGATAATATTGTTCATATATTTTTAAGATAATATTGTTCATATATTTCAGTCCAAAAGTATCGACCAAGTTCAGTCTTTCAGAAACTTTCTTTCCAAAGGACTCGTATAATTAGCGTAACCTTTTGGGCAAAGGCTAAAGACAATTCTTTTGTGATTAACAGGAGGTTGAATAAATGATGATTTCTCTTTGGGAAAGCTACGAAAGCTGTCGTTTGATTTGACATTAAAGGGTTAAACCTGAGGTTATTGGAGCTTTTCACAGAAACAGCACATTTAATAAACTCACTCATGGAGCCTGTGCCGTGTTCCTCCATCACTGCTTTTGGAGGATTTCATTTTGAATTATGTTTTGATGGAATGTTTAGGATGAGACCAGTGGCGGCTGGTGGAATTTTCTACTGGGGGGGGCTATGAATATGATGACTAGATATATACCAGCAGTAAGTAAGTTTACACTGACTGTTGTGACTGAAGCCTCACACGAGAATGAAATATTTATCTTCCCAAACATAGCTAATTTGAGGGCATTTTGCATGTGGATACCGTCTCCCCCTGTCGCTGGACTGCTGACTAATGGTAATATTAATATCAGACTTAAATTTCAATAGCCACATATCATCTGTGACATCATCAGCTTACTTCTACCTAAGAAACATTGCTAAAATTAGGAACATTGTGTCTAAAGCAGACTTGGAGATTCTTATCCATGCATTTGTCTCCAGTAGGTTAGACTACTGCAATGGCCTGCTCACAGGTCTGTCCAAACAGGCTGTAAAACAGCTGCAGTACATTCAAAATGCTGCAGCTCGAGTCCTGACTAGAACCAGGAAGTACAACCACATTAGTCCTGACTAGAACCAGGAAGTACGACCACATTAGTCCTGACTAGAACCAGGAAGTACGACCACATTTGTCCGGTCCTCAGGTCTCTGCACTGGCTTCCTGTGGCTCAGAGAATAGATTTTAAAGTAGCTTTACTTGTGTACAAGTCTCTCCATGGCCTCGCACCAGGGTACATCCGCGACATGTTGGTGCCATATGAACCAACTCGGGCTCTGAGGAGCACAGGGACTGGACTTCTGTTAGTGCCCAGAGTCGGAACTAGACATGGGGAGGCTGCGTTTCAGATTCATGCAGCTAGAGTCTGGAACCGTCTTCCCGAGAGTGTGAGACAGGCGTCTACTCTAGCAGTTTTTTTTTAGCTGTGCATACAAGTGAATGATTTTATATTTGTTTTTATCTTTAATCTTTTTAATGCACTATGATTATTTATGATTATTTATGATTGTAATCCCTTGTGTGATTTTAATGTTTTACGGTTTTTAACTACTTGTGTGATTTTATATATCTTGTGCTCTTAATCTGTCCTTTTATGTTTACTTAAATTCTAATGTTTGATGATTTATGCATGATGTTATATGGGTTGTGAGGCGCTTTGCGTTGCCTTGTGTAGGAAAGGCGCTCTATAAATAAACGTTGATTGATTGATTGATAATATTTGGCTGATTAGGTCCAAGCTCTTTAACCTCAACCTTCTCCTGGTATGATCTTCTCTCAAACGGTATTGTTTTGAGTGATCTAACTGAATTATTCTTTTTCTCGTTCTCCATTTTGCGTCTCTTTACGTTCGTCTCAAACTCCCACAGCTTGACCTGTCAATCACTGTAAACGGACGTCACAGACAGTGACAGTACAGGTCGCGGGCGATCCCGCCCCCTCAGGGCGCACTTCTCCTGCGCCCCCAAATCGTCTTATCTCTTGCATTGAAGAGGAGCTACTGCGCATGTACAACTTTTAACGAGAGTCCATAGACGGCTCAGGGCGCAATCTTTTGCGCCCTGAGGCGGAAATACGTCCTCAGTCCGACACAGACAACGCTGATGAGCTTAATCAATCCAACTCAGCATAAACTATAAAGTATTTCTTCCACATCTGAAATAAAACACACATAAATTTCGAAATATTTTAATGTTATTATTTTTTTAACGTTTTATTCAAGGTAACATGGCAAGTTGTGAGTGGTGGGGCGGCGCCCTAGCGCCCTCTATTGGCCGGCCGCCACTGGATGAGACCTTTCTCTAGTTCCACAACCAAAGGCCTGGACCTCCATGGCTTCTTAAAGCTGCACTACCTGACTTTATGTTTGTATTCATGAGTTAAATCCAACCCATGTCCTGCAGTGCTTTGGGATAAACGTCCTTTTGAAGAATAAGTAGCGCAGATTTGTGCTGGCGTGACATTTTATTTTAGATGGAGTTTTAGTGCGACAAGGAAGAGAATGTGTTTCGGGTCCAGATTGTGACCAATCACAGCGGACCACTGGCCCCCACAGGTCTGTGGTTAGCACAGACAGGTCTGTGGTTAGCACAGACAGCTGAGGTAAACAAGCGGCGGAGGCTAACCTGAAACTTCTGTGTCTTCGTTACCGGTTTCTGCTTACTCAGAGAAACAGACAAAAGAAAGTCTGGTTCCTCCGCACTTCCTGCTTCTATCATTCTATGGTCACGCCACATTCACATGTGATCCATGTGAGACGTGAGCTCCGTAAACACACAAGCACATGAGCACAGGCCGAGTGGGGGGGGGGGCACGTGGAGCAGAGAGAGCGAAGCCAGTGCTCACTTTTTAAACTTTTGCTTCAAAGTGAGTTAGTGCAGCTTTAAATCAGAAGAATTCAGTATATTTTCAAACATGCACGAGTTACATCTTGGATATTTGGAAAAACAAAACAATGATACCTGAAGGTTGTGAGTTTGATCCCACCACGAGTGTGTGTGTGTGTGTGTGTGTGTGTGTGTGTGTGTGTGTGTGTGTGTGTGTGTGTGTGTGTGCGTGTGTATGTGTGTGTGTGTGTGTGTGTGTGTGTGTATTCATCAAACTGACATTTCCCGGCTGTGGGACTGATAAAGGACCTTCTTCTTCTTCTCTTTGGAGGCATTGATCCTGGATTACAGCAGAACAGATGAAATGTGTTCAGTGTCACCGGTTTGACTTTGATAAAAAAGATTGCGTTATTAACTCTTGTCTTTTGTGTTGCTCAAACTGTGGAGGATTTGACAAAGCTCCAAGTGTCTTCCATAAATGTCACTTTGTAGTCTCTCTCCACATGAACACGAGAGAGAGCTGTGTCGTGTCTGGATGATGAGGTCTGCACAGTGCTGCGCCTCGATCCTCAAGACACATTTATTTATATAGCACATACACGACTTACAGTGCATTACAAACAAAGCATTACCATCACAGAACATTCAAAAGATTCACAATCCCTCAGTTGCATGCACAGTGAAACAAAACTGTTTTAACCTGGATCTGAGCAATGGCAGAGTAGAAGTCTGTCTCACATTTTCAGGAAGACTGCTCCAGATTTCAGCTGCATGGATCTGAAATGCTGCTCTTCTATGTTGAGTCCTGACTCTGGGGTTTTCAGGATGTTTTGGATGATGTGGAAACACTGAATACACAAACTTTACCTGGACTCTGGGGGATATCTGTAGAAAGACCCAGGCCAGACCCAGGCCAGACCCAGGCCGGACCAGTCCAAGAGCGCTACACTCAACAAGCTGCTGAAGGTTGCTGTCCTTTGTCCTCTCCTCTGTCTGATTTGAATGCTTTTTAAAGGTAAAGGTGCACATTATTAATCCCAGTAGGGCTCTTCCTCCTCTGCATTTGACCCATCCTGATGCCCTTAGGCTTACATCAGGAGCAGTGGTCGCCGTAGTAACAGCGCCCGGGAACCATCTCCAGATGTTGATGCTCTTGGTCAGGACCAGAGCTGGAGGATTTAACCTAGTGAGCATGTTTTTAGTGGTAGGGGAAACTGGAGCACCTGGAGGAAACCTACACAAGCACGGGGAGAACATGCAAACTCCACTCAGAAATGGGATTCGAGCCCAGGACCGTCCTGCTGAGAAGTGAGAGTGCTAACCACTCAGCCACCGCGCCGCCCCTTTTGCCCCTGTCTTGTTCTGCTCTTTGATTTGACTTGTATGAATTGTGAATTACAGACATTTTTAACTTTTGAATAATATTCTACATTTCTGAGTTTCTCTTGTAGATTACTAGAACACCTTGTTTTTATTTGGATATTCCTGAAACCAAAGCAATGGCCATTAACGGCTGTAATTAAAGATGATATTGAACAGAGAGCATTAAATGTTCCTGAATGTTTAAAGAATCATGAATCTGTCATGTCCCTGGGTTTGTCCGACACAGATCTTTCAGTGAGAGTAGAACCCACATCCACAGCCGAGTGACGGATGCGACTCAATGTTGTTTGGTGCGTGATCAAGTCCCAATAATCTGCTGACATTAAAAGGGCCGCTCTTGTCGGTCCCCTCGATGGGTTTCCGTCATCAACCACAGTTGGAGAAAGGAGAGATGCACGGCCCTCCAGAGAGAAAAGACTGACTAGTGGTTGCGCCTGGATAGTTTCAATTATGGTAAATGGATTTTCTAAATGCCACAGTTGCAGCTTTATAGATTCGGTCCTTGTGGAGGAGAGAGCAAACTCATTTACGTGGAATATTGCTGACTGCCGAGACACCTCCCTGCATTCACCAAAGGAACCCAAATGAAATCAAAGCCAGCTCCCTTGTGCTCCATCTCCATATCCATTTCCTGACACATGATTTGTCCAGACGTTTGGATGCATCTCAATTATTGTGGTGTCACTGTTTGTTTAGCCGTCTCCTCGGATCACACAGGCTTCGGCTCCCATTCCCATCTGTGAGCATCCTCTCCAGAGTGACTCACCTCCATTAGCCCAGATTCTGCAGGAGTGAAGGAGATGCATATGTTGTTACAGAACAAACAGGAGTCAATGATTCCTGACAGAGAACGACATAAACATTATTACTACAGTGTGTTGCTCTAAAAACCATCCATAAAACTATAGAAAAGTTAGAGATCGAAATGCACAATCTAAATATGTAGAGGAGAAGTCAAGTTCTTAGAGTAAGTCAATTATTATGCACAAATGATTAATGTGTGAAAGAGAATGATTTAGATAATTACATGAAATTAACAGTTCAAAATAAAACCTGGTGGAAACCTGAAAAGGCAAAAAAACACAAGAAGGATCAAATAAAACCTTCTGTGGTGATGATTAAACAGTTTATTGAGTCACAGCAACGACCAGAGTGAGCTCAAATCATCTCTCTATGAAATATTGACACGTCAGTAATTTAATAATAATCATAATAATGAAAGAGTTAATAATAATTCCTTCATTCATTCATCATTATTATTATTTTATCTGGAAGGTCGTGGGTTCGAGCCCACCTTGGGACCTATACTCCAACTGCTCCCACTAATGTCTACTGTCGTTGTGTCCTTGGGCAAGACACTTAACCCCATGTTGCCTGAAGCCCCCACTGAAAGACCAAGGCTGTGTCACCGCTGATGTAGCAGACCCACCCCCTGCAGAGGACCAGAGGGACTGGAGCTGTGAGACTTGGGGCAGTTCTCATTGTCACCCCCCGACCCAGAAATGGAGTAATAAAGGGGCAGAAAATGAATGAATGAATGAATGAAAATGAATGAATGAATGAATGAAAATGAATGAATGAATGAATGAAAATGAATGAATGAATAATATTAATAATTGCCTGTAATGTCCCTGTAGAAGGAGCAGCAGTGAGATTCCTCGAGCCCAGAGAATGAGTTCATAATTCAGAGCCTGGACATAAACGCCATGAACCCAGTGACTGTTGGAACAAGCGTTTGGGGCAGACTGGTGCAGCCGCTCCATCACCTGCAGCAGAATCCAGTCTCACTTTTTGATTCATTGGTGTTTTTCCAGTCACCGACGGCGCGGCGCATGTTTCCTTTAGCCTGGAACAACATCCATCCACAGTGAACAGCTAGTTCTCTCCATAAAAGGAAGAAAGTCTATTACACAATCTGATTTTATCGTTCTCCTCGGACAAATATTGTATGACGGAGCAAAGCCATCTCTCTCAGTGTAATGTCTCTGTGGGTCTGGGAGGGCAGAGCCTCTCAGAGCGATGCTGTTTGACTAATTGTTATGGGAAGAGGAAGTGATATGACAATCTCATATTCACATTGCGGGAAAGGCATAGATTATTTATAGCGGGAGCAGCTGCCAAGAGTCACATCTAATACAGAACGGTAATGCAGGTGGTTTAAACACACGCTATAATGTCATCTGCAGCTCCTGATGCCATTTATATCTGTTATTAGCAACGGCAAGAATGAGAGAAGCGTGTCCTTAATCTGTGGAAGCATCTCCAGAATGCTCAGTTTATGGGATTACAATGAACAAATGTGTTTTTCCAAAGTACGTTTAAGAAACAAACCAAAACAGCATAAAGTAGATCAAGGAATGAAAGTCTGAGATGAGACCCTTTGTTCTCCAGGTGTACCTGTGTGCTCCACTGTCTCAGCCTGTGTACCTGTGTGCTCCACTGTCTCAGCCTGTGTACCTGTGTGCTCCACTGTCTCAGCCTGTGTACCTGTGTGCTCCACTGTCTCAGCCTGTGTCCCTGTGTGCTCCACTGTCTCAGCCTGTGTCCCTGTGTGCTCCACTGTCTCAGCCTGTGTCCCTGTGTGCTCCACTGTCTCAGCCTGTGTCCCTGTGTGCTCAGCCTCAGCCTGTGTCCCTGTGTGCTCCACTGTCTCAGCCTGTGTCCCTGTGTGCTCCACTGTCTCAGCCTGTGTCCCTGTGTGCTCCACTGTCTCAGCCTGTGTCCCTGTGTGCTCCACTGTCTCAGCCTGTGTCCCTGTGTGCTCCACTGTCTCAGCCTGTGTCCCTGTGTGCTCCACTGTCTCAGCCTGTGTCCCTGTGTGCTCAGCCTCAGCCTGTGTCCCTGTGTGCTCCACTGTCTCAGCCTGTGTCCCTGTGTGCTCCACTGTCTCAGCCTGTGTCCCTGTGTGCTCCACTGTCTCAGCCTGTGTCCCTGTGTGCTCCACTGTCTCAGCCTGTGTCCCTGTGTGCTCCGCTGTCTCAGCCTGTGTCCCTGTGTGCTCCACTGTCTCAGCCTGTGTCCCTGTGTGCTCAGCCTCAGCCTGTGTACCTGTGTGCTCCACTGTCTCAGCCTGTGTCCCTGTGTGCTCAGCCTCAGCCTGTGTCCCTGTGTGCTCCACTGTCTCAGCCTGTGTCCCTGTGTGCTCAGCCTCAGCCTGTGTCCCTGTGTGCTCCACTGTCTCAGCCTGTGTACCTGTGTGCTCCACTGTCTCAGCCTGTGTCCCTGTGTGCTCCACTGTCTCAGCCTGTGTCCCTGTGTGCTCCACTGTCTCAGCCTGTGTACCTGTGTGCTCCGCTGTCTCAGCCTGTGTACCTGTGTGCTCCACTGTCTCAGCCTGTGTCCCTGTGTGCTCCACTGTCTCAGCCTGTGTACCTGTGTGCTCCGCTGTCTCAGCCTGTGTACCTGTGTGCTCCACTGTCTCAGCCTGTGTCCCTGTGTGCTCCACTGTCTCAGCCTGTGTACCTGTGTGCTCCACTGTCTCAGCCTGTGTCCCTGTGTGCTCAGCCTCAGCCTGTGTCCCTGTGTGCTCCACTGTCTCAGCCTGTGTACCTGTGTGCTCCACTGTCTCAGCCTGTGTCCCTGTGTGCTCCACTGTCTCAGCCTGTGTCCCTGTGTGCTCCACTGTCTCAGCCTGTGTACCTGTGTGCTCCACTGTCTCAGCCTGTGTACCTGTGTGCTCCACTGTCTCAGCCTGTGTACCTGTGTGCTCCACTGTCTCAGCCTGTGTACCTGTGTGCTCCACTGTCTCAGCCTGTGTACCTGTGTGCTCCACTGTCTCAGCCTGTGTCCCTGTGTGCTCCACTGTCTCAGCCTGTGTACCTGTGTGCTCCGCTGTCTCAGCCTGTGTACCTGTGTGCTCCACTGTCTCAGCCTGTGTCCCTGTGTGCTCAGCCTCAGCCTGTGTCCCTGTGTGCTCCACTGTCTCAGCCTGTGTACCTGTGTGCTCCACTGTCTCAGCCTGTGTACCTGTGTGCTCCACTGTCTCAGCCTGTGTACCTGTGTGCTCCACTGTCTCAGCCTGTGTACCTGTGTGCTCCGCTGTCTCAGCCTGTGTCCCTGTGTGCTCCACTGTCTCAGCCTGTGTACCTGTGTGCTCCACTGTCTCAGCCTGTGTCCCTGTGTGCTCCACTGTCTCAGCCTGTGTACCTGTGTGCTCCGCTGTCTCAGCCTGTGTACCTGTGTGCTCCACTGTCTCAGCCTGTGTCCCTGTGTGCTCCACTGTCTCAGCCTGTGTACCTGTGTGCTCCGCTGTCTCAGCCTGTGTACCTGTGTGCTCCACTGTCTCAGCCTGTGTCCCTGTGTGCTCAGCCTCAGCCTGTGTACCTGTGTGCTCCACTGTCTCAGCCTGTGTCCCTGTGTGCTCCACTGTCTCAGCCTGTGTACCTGTGTGCTCCACTGTCTCAGCCTGTGTCCCTGTGTGCTCCGCTGTCTCAGCCTGTGTCCCTGTGTGCTCAGCCTCAGCCTGTGTACCTGTGTGCTCCACTGTCTCAGCCTGTGTCCCTGTGTGCTCCACTGTCTCAGCCTGTGTCCCTGTGTGCTCCGCTGTCTCAGCCTGTGTACCTGTGTGCTCCGCTGTCTCAGCCTGTGTCCCTGTGTGCTCCACTGTCTCAGCCTGTGTACCTGTGTGCTCAGCCTCAGCCTGTGTACCTGTGTGCTCCACTGTCTCAGCCTGTGTACCTGTGTGCTCAGCCTGTGTACCTGTGTTCTCTCAGTGTAATTAAGACTGATGCTGATTGACCTTGGTGGAGGTGAAGGAGTTTTAACCACTGCACAGTCTGACGGTGATGAATCTTCTGTGGGCCCGGTGTCTCTGTAAACAGGGAAGAGGACACCTTGGGAGGCCGCTCTGACACAAGCAGAAGGATAACAAAAAAAATCATGTATGAGACATAGAAAAGAGAAAGTAGCAGGATTGTACCTTTGGGCCGGTGAGATCCCAGTGGGAGGTGGGCTTGATGGGGTTCCATGGCTCCTTACAGAAATGTCACGCAGAGGGCATTTCCAGGAATTAATTTCACCACCGCACTTCCCAAGGTGCTTCTGTGTGTGCTTCGTAGTTACATGTTCGGCAATTATTCAGCAGCTGACAGATCTGTGAGACTGCGCTAACACAAAGGGCTCCTGCTGTTAGACGCACAACAGCAGGAGCGCTAACACAAAGGGCTCCTGCTGTTAGACGCACAACAGCAGGAGCGCTAACACAAAGGGCTCCTGCTGTTAGACGCACAACAGCAGGAGCGCTAACACAAAGGGCTCCTGCTGTTAGTCGCACAACAGCAGGAGCGCTAACACAAAGGGCTCCTGCTGTTAGACGCACAACAGCAGGAGCGCTAACACAAAGGGCTCCTGCTGTTAGACGCACAACAGCAGGAGCGCTAACACAAAGGGCTCCTGCTGTTAGACGCACAACAGCAGGAGCGCTAACACAAAGGGCTCCTGCTGTTAGACGCACAACAGCAGGAGCGCTAACACAAAGGGCTCCTGCTGTTAGACACACAACAGCAGGAGCGCTAACACAAAGGGCTCCTGCTGTTAGACGCACAACAGCTAGAGTCGCTTTGGAAGACAGAAGAGCACGTAGGGCTAAGACAGAAGAGCACGTAGGGCTAAGGCAGAAGAGCACGTAGGGCTAAGGCAGAAGAGCACGTAGGGCTAAGGCAGAAGAGCACGTAGGGCTAAGACAGAAGAGCACGTAGGGCTAAGGCAGAAGAGCACGTAGGGCTAGGACAGAAGAGCACGTAGGGCTAAGGCAGAAGAGCACGTAGGGCTAAGACAGAAGAGCACGTAGGGCTAAGACAGAAGAGCACGTAGGGCTAAGACAGAAGAGCACGTAGGGCTAAGGCAGAAGAGCACGTAGGGCTAAGGCAGAAGAGCACGTAGGGCTAGGACAGAAGAGCACGTAGGGCTAAGACAGAAGAGCACGTAGGGCTAAGGCAGCAGAGCACGTAGGGCTAAGGCAGAAGAGCACGTAGGGCTAAGACAGAAGAGCACGTAGGGCTAAGACAGAAGAGCACGTAGGGCTAAGACAGAAGAGCACGTAGGGCTAAGGCAGAAGAGCACGTAGGGCTAAGGCAGAAGAGCACGTAGGGCTAAGACAGAAGAGCACGTAGGGCTAAGGCAGAAGAGCACGTAGGGCTAAGGCAGAAGAGCACGTAGGGCTAAGACAGAAGAGTCAGAGCTGAAACAGTCCCTCTGATCCACAGCAGGAGTTGGGTCCACGGGGGCTTCCCATTCATTCACTCACTCATTATATTCATACATAATGTGTATGTTTTTAGTGGTAGGGGAAACCGGAGCACCTGCGGGAAACCTGCGTAGACACAGGGAGAACATGCAAAGTCCACACAGAATCGATTCCTTTAACATTGCAGCAAAATGATTTAGATCGATAGATACATACTTTATTGATTCTGTCCAGTAGCAGCAAAAATAAAAAAATAAGCTTGATCCTTGTAAAAAGCTAATAATAGTAATAATAACAACATGCGGCGCAGATGGACATGGGACTAAACCAGGACTTTGACTCTATTCAGTGAGCCGTTTCTTTCAAAACAACAACTGTTTTTTGGACATTCAAAAATCTTTCCTTATGTGTTCCCTCCACAAACGGTCAGCTCACATCTTGCATTTCATTTTTCTATTTTATTGGATTTCTTTTTTTTTGTTTGCGAGACAGAGGAAAGGGAGTGAACGACAACACGGCCATAAGTGCTGCAAACAAAATAACACGAAAACACACAACTTTGTAAACTGCATCTTGATGAAAGCTCAGTTGTTACCCTAAACCTCCACACACACATTTTGCAAGAATGACCGGACAAAACCATCGACTGATTAATCACAGAGACAACCTGCATCAGAACCATGTGTGCTCTGTGGACTGGGCTCTCTCTGCAGCACATGGTCAGTACCAGCAGCTCTCTGTGCAGCACATAGTCAGTACCAGCAGCCCTCTGTGCAGCTCATAGTCAGTACCAGCAGCTCTCTGTGCAGCACATAGTCAGTACCAGCAGCTCTCTGTGCAGCACATAGTCAGTACCAGCAGCTCTCTGTTCAGCACATAGTCAGTACCAGCAGCTCTCTGTGCAGCTCATAGTCAGTACCAGCAGCTCTCTGTGCAGCACATAGTCAGTACCAGCAGCTCTCTGTGCAGCACATAGTCAGTACCAGCAGCTCTCTGTGCAGCACATAGTCAGTACCAGCAGCTCTCTGTGCAGCACATAGTCAGTACCAGCAGCTCTCTGTGCAGCACATAGTCAGTACCAGCAGCTCTCTGTGCAGCACATAGTCAGTACCAGCAGCTCTCTGTGCAGCACATAGTCAGTACCAGCAGCCCTCTGTGCAGCACATAGTCAGTACCAGCAGCCCTCTGTGCAGCACATAGTCAGTACCAGCAGCCCTCTGTGCAGCTCATAGTCAGTACCAGCAGCTCTCTGTGCAGCACATAGTCAGTACCAGCAGCTCTCTGTGCAGCTCATAGTCAGTACCAGCAGCCCTCTGTGCAGCTCATAGTCAGTACCAGCAGCCCTCTGTGCAGCACATAGTCAGTACCAGCAGCTCTCTGTGCAGCACATAGTCAGTACCAGCAGCTCTCTGTGCAGCACATAGTCAGTACCAGCAGCTCTCTGTGCAGCACATAGTCAGTACCAGCAGCTCTCTGTGCAGCACATAGTCAGTACCAGCAGCTCTCTGTGCAGCACATAGTCAGTACCAGCAGCTCTCTGTGCAGCACATAGTCAGTACCAGCAGCCCTCTGTGCAGCTCATAGTCAGTACCAGCAGCTCTCTGTGCAGCACATAGTCAGTACCAGCAGCTCTCTGTGCAGCTCATAGTCAGTACCAGCAGCCCTCTGTGCAGCTCATAGTCAGTACCAGCAGCCCTCTGTGCAGCACATAGTCAGTACCAGCAGCTCTCTGTGCAGCACATAGTCAGTACCAGCAGCTCTCTGTGCAGCACATAGTCAGTACCAGCAGCTCTCTGTGCAGCACATAGTCAGTACCAGCAGCTCTCTGTGCAGCACATAGTTCAGTACCAGCAGCTCTCTGTGCAGCACATAGTCAGTACCAGCAGCCCTCTGTGTGTTCCCTGGTCTATTATCAGGCTGTGGTGAGCTGTCATTGTCTCCCACTCCAGAGATGAGTCTTGTTTTCTCCCTTATTCCCAAACCTGCAGGTCTCAGAGAAACGCCCAGAGTCCAAATAACCATCACTCTTCATTTCCATCGTCCCGAAGCCTGGAATGGGTGTCACTGGCGTCGGTTTTGTCAAGCTCCGACAGCCTCCACGATCCTAATGCAGCGCAGATGGTTTGTCGCTACTTGTCCTGGTTTGTCACGGAAATGGAAACGTGACAGCGGGTTGTCCAAGTCTATGCCAGGTGAGGGAAAGGCTGTGGTAAAACAAGAGGATGTTGCATGGTTTCACGTCTCAATATGAGCTGAAATGACTGGAAATGTTGTAGGTGGGGTAAAGGGCCCTAATCTGTCCTCATTAAAGGGCCCTAATCTGTCATTATTAAAGGGCCCTAATCTGTCCTCATTAAAGGGCCCTAATCTGTCATTATTAAAGGGCCCTAATCTGTCATTATTAAAGGGCCCTAATCTGTCCTCATTAAAGGGCCCTAATCTGTCATTATTAAAGGGCCCTAATCTGTCCTCATTAAAGGGCCCTAATCTGTCATCATTAAAGGGCCCTAATCTGTCATTATTAAAGGGCCCTAATCTGTCCTCATTAAAGGGCCCTAATCTGTCATCATTAAAGGGCCCTAATCTGTCATTATTAAAGGGCCCTAATCTGTCATCATTAAAGGGCCCTAATATGTCCTCATTAAAGGGCCCTAATCTGTCATCATTAAAGGGCCCTAATCTGTCGTCATTAAAGGGCCCTAATCTGTCATCATTAAAGGGCCCTAATCTGTCATCATTAAAGGGCCCTAATCTGTCATCATTAAAGGGCCCTAATCTGTCATCATTAAAGGGCCCTAATCTGTCATTATTAAAGGGCCCTAATCTGTCCTCATTAAAGGGCCCTAATCTGTCATCATTAAAGGGCCCTAATCTGTCATTATTAAAGGGCCCTAATCTGTCATTATTAAAGGGCCCTAATCTGTCATCATTAAAGGGCCCTAATATGTCATCATTAAAGGGCCCTAATCTGTCATTATTAAAGGGCCCTAATCTGTCATCATTAAAGGGCCCTAATCTGTCATCATTAAAGGGCCCTAACCTGTCATCATTAAAGGGCCCTAATCTGTCATCATTAAAGGGCCCTAATCTGTCATCATTAAAGGGCCCTAATCTGTCGTCATTAAAGGGCCCTAATCTGTCATCATTAAAGGGCCCTAATATGTCGTCATTAAAGGGCCCTAATCTGTCATCATTAAAGGGCCCTAATCTGTCATCATTAAAGGGCCCTAATCTGTCATCATTAAAGGGCCCTAATCTGTCCTCATTAAAGGGCCCTAATCTGTCATCATTAAAGGGCCCTAATCTGTCATTATTAAAGGGCCCTAATCTGTCATCATTAAAGGGCCCTAATATGTCCTCATTAAAGGGCCCTAATCTGTCATCATTAAAGAGCCCTAATCTGTCGTCATTAAAGGGCCCTAATCTGTCATCATTAAAGGGCCCTAATCTGTCATCATTAAAGGGCCCTAATCTGTCATCATTAAAGGGCCCTAATCTGTCATCATTAAAGGGCCCTAATCTGTCCTCATTAAAGGGCCCTAATCTGTCATCATTAAAGGGCCCTAATCTGTCATTATTAAAGGGCCCTAATCTGTCATCATTAAAGGGCCCTAATATGTCCTCATTAAAGGGCCCTAATCTGTCATCATTAAAGAGCCCTAATCTGTCGTCATTAAAGGGCCCTAATCTGTCATCATTAAAGGGCCCTAATCTGTCATCATTAAAGGGCCCTAATCTGTCATCATTAAAGGGCCCTAATCTGTCATCATTAAAGGGCCCTAATCTGTCATTATTAAAGGGCCCTAATCTGTCCTCATTAAAGGGCCCTAATCTGTCATTATTAAAGGGCCCTAATCTGTCCTCATTAAAGGGCCCTAATCTGTCATTATTAAAGGGCCCTAATCTGTCATCATTAAAGGGCCCTAATCTGTCATTATTAAAGGGCCCTAATCTGTCATCATTAAAGGGCCCTAATATGTCCTCATTAAAGGGCCCTAATCTGTCATTATTAAAGGGCCCTAATCTGTCATCATTAAAGGGCCCTAATCTGTCATCATTAAAGGGCCCTAACCTGTCATCATTAAAGGGCCCTAATCTGTCATCATTAAAGGGCCCTAATCTGTCATCATTAAAGGGCCCTAATCTGTCGTCATTAAAGGGCCCTAATCTGTCATCATTAAAGGGCCCTAATATGTCGTCATTAAAGGGCCCTAATCTGTCATCATTAAAGGGCCCTAATCTGTCATCATTAAAAGGCCCTAATCTGTCATCATTAAAGGGCCCTAATCTGTCGTCATTAAAAGGCCCTAATCTGTCGTCATTAAAGGGCCCTAATTTGTCGTCATTAAAGGACCCTAATCTGTTGTCATTAAAGGGCCCTAATCTGTCATCATTAAAGCGCCCTAATCTTTTGTCATTAAAGGGCCCTAATCTGTCATCATTAAAGGGCCCTAATCTGTCGTCATTAAAGGGCCCTAATCTGTCATCATTAAAGGCCCCTAATCTGTTGTCATTAAAGGGCCCTAATCTGTCATCATTAAAGGGCCCTAATCTGTCATCATTAACCCTAACCCAATCCTATCGTTCTATAACTTGTGATGTCTGCTGTCGTTGTGTCCTTGGGCAAGACACTTAACCCCACTTTGCCTGAAGCCCCCGTGACAGATCAGGGCTCCTGTGGACTCAGTGAGGGGCTGGTGCTCTGACTGCCACCCCGAACCAGAAATGGATTAAGGGGAAGAAGATGGATGAATGGATTTCTATCTATTTTGAATCGTGTTTTTTATTGTATCAGTTTGAAGTGTATAATTTATTCATGCTGTAATCTGTTTAAATCGACCAACTCATAATATTCTGTGCACAACAAAAAAGACAGTGACGTGACCAACAACTAAAGTTAAACACAAAACCTAAAACAAAATAAAGAAAACTGCATCAGAGGTTGCACTGGCTGTCATTTCATCTTTGCAAATATCTCATCAAATATTGAGTCAAAAAGTAAAGATAACTGTAGGAGCCAAAATAAAGAATAGTAAGTTTGCACAGCCCCCACGCACGGGTTTGTCTCCATCTAGTGGACACTTTGGGGAAGGGCTGCAGGCGGTAGTGTCACCTGGAGGCGTGGCTGCTCTCACCATCTCTCCCACCTGCTTTTCATTTATCTGCTTCATCCTGAGTTTTTTGAACAATTTGAAGTATCACTTTTGTTTGTAAGATAAAAAAAAATTGTAACTTTCAATTTGTAAATTTCATTTCTTATTTTTTATGTGACGCGTCAGGCACTTTTTTGGGCTCAGTCACAGATTTTTTTGTTTGACTCTACAACTTCCATTTCCCATTGAATCTATCTATAAATTCATGCCCATTGCTATTGATAATTCCACTTTAAAAAAACAGAAATGTGCCTTTTCCTGTGGATTCCACCCGATGGAAAGTCGTTGTGATGTCGCAGCCCAGTGGACCTCACAAACACTGAGCTGTGGACTCTCTTTGTTCCAGCTCTGATGCGTCAGCACTTCTCTGTGTGAGGAGAGGCCTCAGCGTCTCCCGTGAATCGCTGGGAGGACAATAAAGTGTGGCCATGATGATATTAAATTACTTCTTTTTGTCAGGAGATAGAAATCCTCAACTCTTTTATTTTTGAGCTGTTGTTACTGACCACAGACCTGGATACAGCCGGAAGTTCTTTTATCAGGGTTACTATAGTCCTGAAATTATCAATCTATATACAGCACATTCTAATCAATAGTGAAAAGGGAAAGTTGGATTACATGTTCAGTGAAAGGTCTTAAATTCACACTCCACTCAGTTCCATACGCTCAGGCTCCAAGTGATAATTGATTTCAGCACGCAGACCTTGAAGTTATTATAAGATTTATGGCCGTGTGCTTGTATTGGATGTAAGCTCTGGCGTCTCCAGTCCATGAAATGCAATTACTTTGATCCACATGGGACGTGATGATTTTGAACACAGCCCTGTCTGAATTTTCGGCCTTTACAGCAACCGAAAAATAATTTAGGATTCTCCTGGCATAGCAACCTAATGCATGAAAGTGTCTCCAGCTGATTTACTCATTAACCAGATAAAAAACACACTCCAGTTTGATTCAATAACATTTTAGCCGACGGTCCTTTGTGAAAACATGATCTGCTTAAACACAAATAGGAACAACTCCCAGAGACCCAGCTTAGAAACAAAATAGAAGCTTTTTATAAATGTATTGCGGTGAATGATTCATGTTTTACTGTAACACGCACAACACAGCATGCAAAGAGAAATAGTGTTGAATAATGAAGTCAGAAGGCGGTGACGGGTAATCAGGGTGAATGGGAGTCATGCACCGGGCTGTCTCTGGAGGGAACCTTCGGACGCTTAGAAACATGTGACTCCACACGAACCCGGGTATATGTATATTCTAAGTGCTCATATGGCAGGGGTGGGTTAGAGAAAACAGCATTTAAATTATACAGAATATAAACAACAATCTGATGGCTGCGAGCAGCAACAAGAACAAACAAGAACAAACAAGTCAATATTTTATACACACACGTTTTATTGTTTTTGGATCAACTCCCATTGTGTCTGTCAAAGGTGGAAGAGGCTGATTTGAACATGAGCTAGCTGGAGTGTTGCTAGTGTTGAGGGATGCTAACTTTGTAGCTATGCTAGCAGGAGTTTCCCCCACAAATCAAGGCATATGATTGGTCTATCCGTACGACTCATGACTCAAGGTCATCTAGATGTAGACAAAATCAAATAGATAGATCATTTTTTATCTGAGCTGTGGACTCTCTTTGTTCCAGCTCTGACATGGCAAGAGCTCTGGTGTGTGTCGTCTGGTGCACACCGGGGTAGTCTTGCACAGTTTTTCCTATGTGGTTTGACTGCAAATGGCAAATAAATGAATCTGAATCTGATCTCTGAATCTGATGCGTCAGCACTTCTCTGTGTTAGGAGAGGCCTCAGCGTCTCCCGTGAATCGCTGGGAGGACAATAAAGTGACAGTAGCTCAGTTGGTAGAGCATTGGCCTTGGGTTCAATTCCCACCTCTACACCTTCTCCACCGACTCCCACTGATGACTGCTGTCGTTGTGTCCTTGGGCAAGACACTTAACCCCACTTTGCCCAAAGCCCCCACTGAAAGATCAAGGCTATGCTCACACTCAGAGAGCAGCCGTCCTCCTGTGGACTCACCACCTGCAGAGGGTCAGTGAGGGGCTGGTGCTATGAGACTTGGGTGGCATCTCTGACTGCCACCCCCCTGACCCAGAAATGGATTAAAGGGTAGAAAATGGATGGATGGATTTTTTTTATCTCAGAGTGAGCCTCAGTTTGAGCCTCATTAGACTTTGACTCTATCTTAAACCATTTTCAGGTAGCTACCACAGAGCAATAGCTACCACAGAGCAATAGCTACCACAAAGCAATAGCTAACACAGAGCAATAGCTACCCCAGAGCAATAGCTACCACAGAGCAATAGCTACCACAGAGCAATAGCTAACACAGAGCAATAGCTACCCCAGAGCAATAGCTACCACAGAGCAATAGCTACCACAGAGCAATAGCTAACACAGAGCAATAGCTACCACAGAGCAATAGCTAACACAGAGCAATAGCTACCACAAAGCAATAGCTACCACAGAGCAATAGCTACCACAGAGCAATAGCTACCACAGAGCTAGGAGCTCTACATTTGGAGTTCAGTAGGGGGCTGAGGGGGCCCCCACAGCCCCAACAGCCCCCTCAGCCCCCACAGCCCCAACAGCCCCCACAGCCCCAACAGCCCCAACAGCCCCCTCAGCCCCCACAGCCCCCACTGCCCCCACAGCCCCCACTGCCCCCACAGCCCCCACAGCCCCCACAGCCCCCACTGCCCCCACAGCCCCCACAGCCCCCTCAGCCCCAACAGCCTCCACAGCCCCCTCAGCCCCCACAGCCCCCACAGCCCCCTCAGCCCCCTCAGCCCCCACAGCCCCCTCAGCCCCCACAGCCCCCTCAGCCCCAACAGCCTCCACAGCCCCCACAGCCCCCTCAGCCCCCACAGCCCCCTCTGCCCCCACAGCCCCCACAGCCCCCACTGCCCCCACAGCCCCCACTGCCCCCACAGCCCCCACTGCCCCCACAGCCCCCACAGCCCCCACAGCCCCCACAGCCCCCACAGCCCCAACAGCCCCCACAGCCCCCACAGCCCCAACAGCCCCCTCAGCCCCCACAGCCCCCTCAGCCCCCACAGCCCCCTCAGCCCCCACAGCCCCCTCAGCCCCAACAGCCCCCTCAGCCCCCTCAGCCCCCACAGCCCCCACAGCCCCCACAGCCCCCACAGCCCCCTCAGCCCCCACAGCCCCCTCAGCCCCCACAGCCCCCTCAGCCCCCTCAGCCCCCTCAGCCCCCACAGCCCCCATAGCCCCCTCAGCCCCCACAGCCCCCTCAGCCCCCACAGCCCCCACAGCCCCCTCAGCCCCCACAGCCCCCTCAGCCCCCACAGCCCCCTCAGCCCCCACAGCCCCCTCAGCCCCCTCAGCCCCCACAGCCCCCTCCTGAGGATATCCAGGGTCAGCTCTGCCTCTTCATGCCCTGGTTTGTCTTTCTGTCCGATCATGTTCATGGGCGTCTTCTTGTTTGTCTGTTAGAAAAGCATCCCATGACATAAAAATGAACTGGATCAGTGGTTTGCAGGATGAGGTTGAAGGACAACATTTGTAACCATTTTGCCTCTTTTTTTTTTTAAGTGATATTCAATAAAACAGTTCAATAAATTACTCAATTAAACTACACTGAATGTAACTTTAAACGTGTGTATTAAAAATGGTATAGATCAGTGGAAGTGTGTTTTTCTCGGGTCCTGCTCGGAGCTGTCTGTGTTTACTTCTACTCCTCTAATCTTCACACTTGGAACTTGTGTCGGTCCAAACTGCTCAGACTTGTGTGACCTTCTGTCTGCTCACAGCCTGCAGAGGACACAGAGGACACAGTCTCACTGGGATTTCTGGCTGTATCTCCCTGTAATTGCTCCCCCCCCCCCCCCCCCCCCCCCTCACTGGGCCCAAATCTGTCTCTGGGTGACACTCGAGAGGAAACGACTTTGATTTTCTAGTTTCAACATTATTAGGTGGAATAATATCTTTATAGTACAATATATTGAATTAAATTAGGTAGCAGTTCATGTTGAAAAGTCACTGCAGGGAGAAAAATATCCAAAATTATGGTTCAAATTTAACGTACTAAATGTTCTCTCAATATAAACATGTCTTCTTGTTTTTCAGTCTTTAAGATGAGGCAGGACCCCAGACCTGACTCCAGGGCGGGCTGTGATCCAACACTATCACATGCTGCGACATTCTTCCCCGTGACGCTGTGACGGGCCGCAGTGTAATTCAGCAGTATAATAGCATTGATTTATACATATTAAGTGTATATATTAAGTGTGTCGACAGCAGACATCAGTGGGAGTCGTGAAGTAGGTCTCGTGGTGGATTCAAACCTACGACCTTCAGGCCCAAAGGCCGACGCTCTACCAACTGAGCCTCTGTCGCCCTTTAATAGAATCATGAATGAGGTAAAAATACAGCCTGAAGGTTCTTTAACAAGACAAAAGTGATTCATGCTTCGACACTCATTGTGCAGCATTATTGGCATGTTGCGTTAAAAGCTTTTTACTTTAGAAAAATACAGAACACTGGCAAACCTTTTCCTCTCGGGCTTGGAAACTGCAGTGAGAAGGTTCAATGCCAGTTTCCATCGCTGCAATCCAACAGAATACATAAGAAACCTCCAAAGGGCTTATGTTTGATTTTTATACATATGAATGTGTTTTATAAAGCCAGAGCGCACAGTGAAGCCTTTTCCTTTTCATTACTGGATTTCCTTTATTTCTCTCAAACAGCAATAATCTTCTGTGCTAAGTAAATGCCTCAGAGACGCATTACACAAATCTAATCTTGTCAACACACACGATATGAAAGACAATGTTTAAACCCTCATGATGTCCTAGCTACATTCGTCTACAGCTCTATAAATGCATGTTTCCCTCCCAGACTACAGACCCGTAACACTGACATGTCCTAATATTGCAGTGTGAGGTTAGTTTGGAGAGTTATGACGCCTTCTGTCAAAGCCTGGTTTATCTGTGAGCCGCTGATTTCCTGGAGATAAATCATCTGGAAGTCGTGACAAGTCATTTCCGAGCTACAGCCGATTCTTCCTCCGCACAGAGGGCTAATATCTGGGTCTGTGTCAACAAGACCAAACAACATCTTAATAATAAGCAATTTACTCACAAATATTCTGGACATTATTTATGAAACGCTGCCAATTATATTCATGACTAAAGGAGAAAACTTTAGAAAGTTCTTACCTGAGGTGCAAATACAAACTGTTATGAAAGTTACTGGAAGCCTTTGTTTTGCTAAATAATTTAAAGGGCCCCTAAACATCAACATTTACACACAAAGCTGTGAAATAATAAGGAGACATCAGAAGGTGACAGTGTTCGATTGGCATTTATTAGAAGTTTTAAGCAAGGCCCCAGACCAAGCTCCGGTGATCCACGTCTGGTCCATGGGGGCGCTGCTGCAGAGGTCTACATAAGTGTGCTAAAGTCTACATCAGTCTGCTAAAGTCTACATAAGTCTGCTAAAGTCTACATAAGTCTGCTAAAGTCTACATTAGTCTGCTAAAGTCTACATTAGTCTGCTAAAGTCTACATAAGTCTGCTAAAGTCTACATTAGTCTGCTAAAGTCTACATAAGTCTGCTAAAGTCTACATAAGTCTGCTAAAGTCTACATAAGTCTGCTAAAGTCTACATTAGTCTGCTAAAGTCTACATAAGTCTGCTAAAGTCTACATAAGTCTGCTAAAGTCTACATTAGTCTGTGATGTCAAAAAATGATTTGACTGACGTGTTCAGAATTTGATACAGAAATAAGGCCAAGAATGCAGGAGTTAAAAATAGAACATTTAATTCTCTTTACAATTAAATATTGATACAAAAACTCTCGGAGCCCTAAATTCTCTAAATCTAACCCTATGCTGAGCCATTCTAACTGTCCCTCCAGGCCTGAAAAATGTGCAGGGGACATCCAGGCGCTCTGCGATGTTCCCTGTCTAACTATCCCTGCTCAGCCTGCCTGAAAATCTCCTCCGAGCAGTTTCTATCAGAAAGTCTGATGACGTCACAGGTCCCAGACTGGTCCAGTCTGATCCAGCTTTTTCTGGTTTTGGGAGGCGCGTACTCCAGCTAGCCCATTGGACTCCGGACTCTGTCTGGTCTGGTCTTGGTCTGGTCTGACATCAATCTCCTTCTCCAAACAACTCTTATCTGGCTGGGGGAGCTCTGCATTCCTCACATGGTCTGGCTGACTCGACTAGACCCCACTTAATATGAAATCACTGAAAATATAAACAACGTGTGCAGCATTTCTTGAGATGATGCATTATCTGCTAAAGACTACATAAGTCTGCTAAAGTCTACATTAGTCTGCTAAAGTCTACATTAGTCTGCTAAAGTCTACATAAGTCTGCTAAAGTCTACATTAGTCTGCTAAAGTCTACATTAGTCTGCTAAAGTCTACATAAGTCTGCTAAAGTCTACATTAGTCTGCTAAAGTCTACATAAGTCTGCTAAAGTCTACATTAGTCTGCTAAAGTCTACATAAGTCTGCTAAAGTCTACATTAGTCTGCTAAAGTCTACATTAGTCTGCTAAAGTCTACATTAGTCTGCTAAAGTCTACATTAGTCTGCTAAAGTCTACATAAGTCTGCTAAAGTCTACATTAGTCTGCTAAAGACTACATAAGTCTGCTAAAGTCTACATTAGTCTGCTAAAGTCTACATAAGTCTGCTAAAGTCTACATTAGTCTGCTAAAGTCTACATAAGTCTGCTAAAGTCTACATTAGTCTGCTAAAGTCTACATTAGTCTGCTAAAGTCTACATTAGTCTGCTAAAGTCTACATTAGTCTGCTAAAGTCTACATAAGTCTGCTAAAGTCTACATTAGTCTGCTAAAGTCTACATAAGTCTGCTAAAGTCTACATTAGTCTGCTAAAGTCTACATAAGTCTGCTAAAGACTACATTAGTCTGCTGCTAAAGTCTACATTAGTCTGCTAAAGTCTACATAAGTCTGCTAAAGACTACATTAGTCTGCTAAAGACTACATTAGTCTGCTAAAGTCTACATTAGTCTGCTAAAAGTCTACATAAGTCTGCTAAAGTCTACATAAGTCTGCTAAAGTCTACATCAGTCTGCTAAAGTCTACATAAGTCTGCTAAAGTCTACATAAGTCTGCTAAAGTCTACATCAGTCTGCTAAAGTCTACATAAGTCTACTAAAGTCTACATTAGTCTGCTAAAGTCTACATAAGTCTGCTAAAGTCTACATTAGTCTGCTAAAGTCTACATTAGTCTGCTAAAGTCTACATAAGTCTGCTAAAGTCTACATTAGTCTGCTAAAGTCTACATAAGTCTGCTAAAGACTACATTAGTCTGCTAAAGTCTACATAAGTCTGCTAAAGACTACATTAGTCTGCTAAAGACTACATTAGTCTGCTAAAGTCTACATTAGTCTGCTAAAGTCTACATAAGTCTGCTAAAGTCTACATTAGTCTGCTAAAGTCTACATTAGTCTGCTAAAGTCTACATAAGTCTGCTAAAGTCTACATAAGTCTGCTAAAGAGAAAGATACATAGGCACTTATCCCACAGCTCCTCACAGCAGCAGAGAACGCTCCATTGATTTGATCGTATTTTAAAAACGTTTTACGATCATTATTTCTTAATAACAGACTCTCAAAACAATAATGGCCGCTGCCCTTTGGCAACGCACTCTGTGCTTGTACTTCAGGAGTTAAATACTCAGATTACTCTGACAGTAGTTCTACACTTCGTCACAACGAGCTGCGCCTGTCTCTGTCTGTGAGAGAGAAGCTATCAGAGCTAGCTACGCTCAATAACACAAATATCAATAACACAAATATCAATAACACAAATATCAATAACACAAATATCAATAACACAAATATCAATAACACAAATATCAATAACACAAATATCAATAACACAAATATCAATAACACAAATATCAATAACACAAATATCAATAACACAAATATCAATAACACAAATATCAATAACACAAATATCAATAACACAAATATCAATAACACAGTTCAATGTTAATGTGAGAACACATTATACACATTTTTAACACACAGAGGTTTTCAGAATTATCTGTTCACGTTTTCATGATAAAAATACTGTTTTAATGCGACAAAAGCGATCGCAGTAAACTCAAAGTAACTAATAACATTAGAACCATAGACTGTATATATTAACGGACAGAGTCAGGCCTATCTGCGCCGTTCTAACTAATGGGCCAAAAAATGTGCTCTACTGGAGCTATCCAAAATGGCCGCTAGTGGTCCCGCCCACAAGAAAATTGTGAAAAAACGCATCTGTGCATGTGTCAGCCGCAAGCCCCGGCGATCCAAGATGGCGCCCTATTCAAATGAATGGTTGTGCTCAGTGGCGCTTTGTGACGGCATGGGGGCTGAAAGATTAGCGGAAGTCGCCTGAAACTCTCAAAGACCTATGGGAAACTCTCAAAGATCTA